TAGTAACATAAAAACGAAACTACAATAATATGCGATCTGTTTTCTTTACATCGTGAAGAACGGACTTTAAAATTTGCGACGCTCCGTTTGGTTATTAATAGATCAGAAGTTAAAAAATCACCGTTTTAAACATCTCTGTGGAAATAGAAAATATGTTTCACATCGTAACTTATTTGTGTAAACTTTGCAAACGTATTTGTTATGGTTTGAAATGTTTCTTTATTAAAAAGGGTTTAAAAAACAAAGTTTTTGACGAATCGGGTTAAGCAATAAAAATATTTGTGGTCTGAAAGTCGCGGGCTTCAAAATTTGCTACATTTTGATTGGTTGAAAAGACCGGAACAGATCAACTTCGCCGGGAATAAGAACACGGGAGGGTAAAGGCCTACTGATCGACAAGAGTAGCTATTGAGCGAATTTTACCAGTATTGACCTCTCACAGACAGTTATTATGTTTGACTCTAAGGTCTACTGATTTCAATATGTACCTGTCACTCTATCATCAAGAAAACAGTCGTCAGCTTCACGAAAGCTAGGCCTGAGCAAATCTAGTGTCAACGACAATGCTGATGTGCCGCCTGGGGTATGTTACTATGCAGTGGCGGATCCAGAGACCTATCTGGGGGGGTTCCAAATTTCCTGGGGGGGTTTCCATGTTGGGAAAATTGAGGAAAATTGTGAAAATATATGATTTTAAAGAAAATTCTCAGGGTGGTTGGGGTTCCTGAAGCCCAAAAAACCCCTCTGGATCCGCCACTGCTATGTACGCGCATAAATGTGTATTTTTATGTGGGTTAAAGGTGATTGAAACAATGTATGCTTCGCCTACTTTGTTGGTTCGTGTCGGTGTCACAATATGCCCCCCCCCCTCCCCCGAAGGTGTTGATTGCACTTTTTTTTTGTAAGCAGATGATACATATTGACATACATGTATGGTAATGACAATTTCGCAGATTTGCCAATCTTTTGAAATTTCTAACGTAACATAAATNTTCTGATTATATCTAATTCCGTGGTAACATAAATAATCATCAAAAAATGTCACGTGTTTATGCCTCTAGGTAAAAATAACACTTGAGTGTACATCAATCATCTTTTGAGTTCTTCCTGATGAAACCATTAGGTCTTATACTCAATCAGAATAAGTTTATTACGCAAGTTTATTGGCTGAAAATGGTCAATTTTAGCAAGGCAAGCCTGAATATCAGCTGTGTCACATTGTATGTACAGTAGTTAATAGCTTCTAGCCAGGCTATAACTTCATTAATTAAACATCCATGCTAGAAGATTTCGTACACTGTAAATATTTTGAGAAATCTTGTCTAAGAAATTTAGGAAATACATATATACATTATAATTTTGAAATAATTCAACATAAAACAAAACTAGAATTATGTCAGTGTGACATTAAAGCCGCTCACCACTTTAAATTTAACTGCTTCAGTAACACGTTGAGCATCAGTGTCTACTATAATACCTCAGATATGTGTTCTGTATTCTGCTAATTGAAAATCAGGTCATGTGATGATGTTGCCTTTGGAATTTCCAAAATCAATCACCTCTTAAATGATGCCTTAAAAACATTCTCCCCTCCCCTTTTTTCACCCTCTTTAAGTGTGACGCATTGTTGTACTTTTCATTAATTAGCATCCTCCGATGATGTGATATAAGCATTTACGTGCATAATGGCAATCGGTGAACGGATTATAAAGAATAGGTGCATTTTTGCTTGTGAAATGAAAGATAATAAAGAGTTGTGGGAAAACATGCATGGAGAAAAGAGACATTGTACTCCTTTTATTTTTTATTTATTTTTTATTCATATTAATAATAATTATAAATATATATAGTGATTATATTTACTGTCATTGAATATACAAAATCTCACAAATGTTCTCGGAATATATTTGAATTTTATTTCTTGATGCGACTTTACCATCGTAAGAGTTATTTCCCTTACACCTGATTGGATAATATTCGATACGGCGCAAATTCTTGTCAAACAGCAGCGGCAGTTGTGTCAATAAACATGTTCTTAAATTGTTACATTTTTCATAAATAAATACACCAAAAAAAGCATGCTGTGTTACAGAAATGTTTGATAAGCATACAAGGTTCGCATATCGTCTGGTCTCAGAGCCATTACCGTTATCAACCTAAGCACGATATGTACGTCATAATACGTTCCTGTTTGAAACATCAAAATAAAGGTTATACTTCATCACAAATACGGTTTTTAAGTAAATATATTTACTTCTTCCTTTTACAGACAGCGTCAATGCTTGACAGTCTTCACATGTGCTTTCTCGAATCATATGTGTTTCACACGCGTAACCCTCTGATGAATAGATGTTACTATGAGGCGGGGTTGCTAAGGAGTCCGCCATCTTGGATCTGGTTGCTAAGGCTAGCAACCATCTTGGATCCAAGATGGCGGACTCCCTAGCATCCCCACGACCCTACGGCTCATAGTAACATCTATTCATCATGTGTGTTTTGAATGTGATGTCATCATTTTTGAGGTACTCCCATAATTATCTCCCCTGTATATGTATTAAATTCTGCCTTTTGTTTTTAGGTATGCATGGTTAATAGGACTACACTCGAACGTCGTGCCCTGTGAGAAAGAAGAAAAAGAAAGAAACAGAATGCATTTCATTGTACATATACTCAATAAATATTAGTAGACTCTTTCTCTCGGTTCTTCTGGTTTTTCCGGTTGTGATTTTACATTCTGTAGACTGTTTGCAATCATCTCTCCGTGAAAATGAGGGGCTCTGTTTCTCACAATAATGCGTTATTTACAATATAAATAAAATTCACGGCATATTTACGGTGTTTTCGAGTGTGGTATTAAATCGAGATGAACTTTCTTTTCGTGAAGGAAGTGAGTGTGTCGGTGCTGTAGCAGAAAGTGCAAGTCGATATGCGGTTTTTTTCTTCTAGATGTTTTGGGTTTCAATGTGGCTGATACTTTTACTTCCTTAAATCTGATTGGTCGAATTCTGATTGAGGGCGCATGGTCGCGGGTTCGATGCGCGCCGTTGTCATTTATTTTTTATTTTTATTTTTTATTTTTTATTTTTTTTTGTATAGAATCCTTCTTGATTTTTTCCAAGAAGTTTGAAACTCAGGTTATTTTAATAATAGATAGATAAATCGATCAATGTGAAAGAACGTATTTCGAGACTAAATTAAAACAAGTACGAAATTATTTTTTTTTTGATGAAAAATATGCAGATACTGCTGATTCTGTATTGTATGTTGTCACTATTTGTACACACTTGTCCACTATTTGTCCTTTTTTGTCCCTTGTCCCCTAGTTGTACTCTATTTGTCCCTATTTGTACCCTATTTGTCCCTAGTTGTCCCTCTTTGTCCCCTATTTGTCCACTATTTGTCCCTACTTGTCCCTATTTGTCCCTAGTCGTCCCCTAGTTGTCCCCTATTTGTCCCCTATTTTTCCCCTATTTGTCCCCTATTTGTCCACTATTTGTCCCTATTTGTCCCTATTTGTCCCTAGTTGTCCCCTAGTTGTCCCCTATTTGTCCCCCATTGTCCCCTATTGTCCCCTATTTGTCCCTAGTTGTCCCTATTTGTCCCCTATTTGTCCCCTATTTGTCCACTATTTGTCCACTATTAGACCCTAGTTGTCCCTATTTGTCCCCTATTTGTCAACTATTTGTCCAGTATTTGTCCACTATTTGTCGCTATTTGTCCCTATTTGTCCCCTATTTGTCCCTATTTGTCCCCTATTTGTCCCCTATTGTCCCTTATTTGTCCCTAGTTGTCCCTATTTGTCCCCTATTTGTCCACTATTTGTCCCTATTTTTCCCCTTTTTGTCCCCTATTGTCCCCTATTGTCCCCTATTTGTCCCTAGTTGTCCCTATTTGTCCCCTATTTGTCCCCTATTTGTCCACTATTAGACCCTAGTTGTCCCTATTTGTCCCCTATTTGTAAACTATTCGTCCACTATTTGTCCACTAATTGTCGCTATTTGTCCCTATTTGTCCCCTATTTGTCCCTATTTGTCCCCTATTTGTCCCCTATTTGTCCCCTATTGTCCCCTATTTGTCCCTAGTTGTCCCTAGTTGTCCCTAGTTGTCCCCTAGTTGTCCACTATTAGACCCTAGTTGTCCCTAGTTGTCCCCTAGTTGTCTCTATTTGTCCTTATTTGTCCTCGTTCGTCATAAGTCTCAAAGTTTGACAGTATTTTGCTAATTGAGCTAAGGCATTCAACAAAGCAATCAAGATGTGGCTACGGGTCCCCCGGGTTTTTTTCCCCGTATTATCCGATCATAGTCGGGGGTATCATCAGTGCCCAACTGACTCATTGTTGCCCGCTTTAATTTTTTTTTAATTGTTTTGTTTTTCAATTTTTTGTTTTGTTTTTTGTTTTCTTTTGTTTTTGTTTTTTTCTTCTTTTTATTTGATACATTGATTGATTATCATTTACATAAGCAACCCCCAGCCATCCCATGGATTTGTTGGCAAACGAAGACATCACGAAACGAGCGTTCTTACGAAGTCGTCTACGAAATACGTGTTAGCATGAAAGTCTTTTTTTTAATAAGGACGTTATGTCGGACATCGTTTTTTTCTTTACATCTCTGAACTATGTAGAAAATGCAATGTTGCCCGCACACTAACGAGTGGAGGTGTTGTACTCTAACGCCGTTGTACGTCCAACTTCGACACTGTCTGTCCATGAAATTAGTGAATACTTTGTTCGTCGGCGGAAATCCGAAGGGATCGTAATATTCTCCGTGGCCTTCACCGTTTATGTGCACCGCAATCCAGTGTTCACCCTTAAGTGTATCGGGATCTGTGTTACACCCGAGTGCACACGGCACGTTTAATCGTCTCGGTAATTGTTTCTGGAGTACACGCCTTTGAAATGAGGACAGTTTTTGTTCAAGATGAAATCTATTTGAATGGTATTCATCATGCGCTGTAATCGAATAAAATCTGTCTGTTACGGTCGATTTCTATGATGTTGTCAAACTGCATACACTATGACGTTGATCGTCGCTGTTAAAATCTCGTTGAAATGAAGGTGTAGACTCATGTTTCCGCTTTTTATGAGATGAAATGTGCCCATCTCCGACAGATCGGCCGTGAGGTCGAATCCGAACAGGGTGTATCCTTTCCCGAATTCCTCTCGAGACACGTTGTTTCCCTCGTCGTGGTAAATTTTACCCGTGCTCGTATAGAGATTCATGTAGCTGCGCACGTACTGACCGTTCGTGAAGTCCGGTTGTAATGGCTTGGCTGGAATTTGTTTCCCGTCCACATTAAGACACACGTAATCGACCTTGTGGTGTTTGAAATTGAAAGGATTTTTGGTGGCGGTACCGTTAAAAGCGTCCGTGTCGACCATGCCCAGGACGATCCTCTTGGGCATCTGTCCTATGAACAGGTTGTCCTTGGTAAAGTCCATGTTACCTCGAGGCACGGACGTCACTTTCATTTCTATTCTCCGTATCGGATACTTGGCGGGAGTTTTTTCCATGGCTCTCGCGTGAGCAAGGCGAACGGACGGATTCAAACGCACTTTCCTTGCGTACAGACAGATATCTTGCACTACTGCTTTAAACGTGTCGCCCTCTGCATTGAGACAGAACACGTCCTTACTGCGTGACATGTTTATTTCCACGTCGACGTTGTTGACTAAGTAGCGTTCCTGTGCAAACACGTCCGCATG